TGCACATGCAAATATGTACACAAATAATCAAAGTGACAAGTAAATTAGTGTATCATATGAATAAAGCGAGAATAACTTGCAGTGACGACGACATCAATATTAACTTTTGGTTTTAGGACAAGAATATGCTTCCGCTCCATCGAAGATCACGGAAACAACTGATACAAATATAGTAATATACTGTTCCCTACTTTTCAAGTGCAAAAACAAAAGCTGTGTCAAGTACCATTTGACATTATTCCTATATCAGATTTATCAGATCAGAACAGGGAATTAATTTTATACAGCAACCATTTGTCGAAATATAGTTTATGGATATCTTTTAGTTATTTATTCCATGACTTCACAACTAAGACCGACAGAAACTTGCTTAACCAATAGACAGTAGTAGATAGTTCAATGAAAAGTTAGGACATGTAAAAAAAGATGAGGAAAAGGATATAAATCTGAACAAGGATGCAGGACCTACCCCAAAGAGCAGCACTTTTCACGAGAGGAGGCACGGGTATGTCCCCTTCTGACTTGTTTACGCTCCTGATGACACATGAGAATAAGAGAGTGAATACTGTCATTAAAAAGGAGAATTTGTTTTCTTTTTGGTTTGGTTCGGTGAAAGTTTTGGGCGATCTTTGTATTTATACCATTCAAAACACCTAATTCAGGTTGTCAGTACCAATTTACCAATTTCACTGTTGTAGACAACAATAAATTAACAATGGAAGGATCTTTATGTTCCAAATACAATATCTTTTCCCCCGACAGCTTGGGCAGGCACAATGATCAGCGTAATAAGTATGAAATCTTAGGGCCAGTTTGATGTGATCCACTATCGTAACTATATAAGTATCAAAAGTTAAGGCCAACTTGATAACCATTTCATTTTTTGTTAGAAACAGAGGAGATACTGCATGAGAGAAAGGAGAGATGTAGAAGGGTGGAGGAAGGATGGTGGGAGAGATGTGGAAGATATGCATATAGAATGGTAAATGAAAACTAAAAACTGGAAACAAATTCGAGTTGTTCACTTTCAAGTTTTGTTTCATACTCTCCTTCAGTACTCCCTCCTCTGTCCCTCTACCATTCAAGTTTTGTTTCATACTCTCCTTCAGTACTCTCCTTCAAGTTTTGTTTCATACTCCCTCTTCAGTACTCTCCTTCAAGTTTTGTTTCATACTCTCCTTCAGTACTCCCTCCTCTGTCCCTCTACCATTCTTCATGCCTCTTTTTCCTCATATGCTTTCCCCTCTACCTCTCACACACACAAAAAATGAAAGCTAAAGCCTAAAAACGAAAGGGTTAATAACAGGCGCTTAAAAACACATTTAATAGCAGATATCCAAGCAAGAGTGACTGACATCTGACAGAAAAACAGACATAACATGAAAACTATATTTAGATAAAAGAATACCTTTTGGCATTCATGATCATATTTGCAATTCCTTGTCCAATAAGACCACATACAAAGCCAACTGATCCGTACAACACACCCTGGACCAACATGTTTCAATCAATTAAAAAGAACCAGAACCCAGATTTTGGTCTAGACAATTAAGAATGGTACATGAAACTGGTACAGAAGCCTAATTTGAAGAGAGAATCATTAAGCAAGAACTACATTAAAAAAACTAAAGAGTGAAAAACTCCACCCGGCCTCTTCTTGATGGAACATTTGTCTTCAATATTTACAGTCCAGAAGTCAACTAATTACTTATTTGTTACTTACACAAAAAGTTAAACATTGCTAATCAGATGTTTTACCTTATAGAAGTATGTGGCTGTTCTCTGCTGGACCGTGAATTTACATCCCGGCCTTTCAGCTTCAAAGACGCTGCATAAGATGAATATATGCAGTGAAAAATTTAATGAAGACCATGCAATGCATCACAAAAGAAGAATTCTAGGAGGACTCATCGATTTGAATTCAACCTCAAGACATAAGAGAATACAATTATGAGGTCCCAAAAAGGTCCCAAAAGATAACCCTAAGTTACACTCCCACATTTGTTAAAGAAATTTAATTTATGTCACTATGTCAGTCGTTGTGTTTTCATCATTTTCTGTAGCTCAACATGGGCTCACAATGAAACAAATTAAAAATAGAAACATTTTAATGATCCCAATGAAACAAATTAAAAATAGAAACAGAGGCAACTGGTAAGATGGACTACATTCAAGGTAATAAACAATACAAGATTGGTACTTGTTGAGGTCTTACTACGTTCAAGTCAAGCGCAGTAATTATTGACGTATAACATTAGATAAACGTACAGCAGAATACTTGCATCCTAAAATGCTGTGTTGCAGTGCTAACCTGCTAGGAAGAGAGGCACAAGCCTGTTGCACGCTTCCTAATAAACCTCGTGACACTGATGGCTTTCCAATCCGAGCATAGGGTGCCAACATGCCAACCAAAGCAATGTCAACCACTATTCCAACCAAAAGATCAGCAGCATACAACTCAAACTCTGCCCAGAAATCCTTTCCCCTTTTCTGAACTTCTGCAAATGTTGCACAACAAGAATCTATGACTATCTGCATTACAAAGGTGGACAATGAAAGATCTCTTTAGCAGTTAACAAGATCAGAGATTGTAAACCGGTCCAGGTATACATGTAATGTAACTCATAGGATTATGACCAACGCCAACAATCACTCAAAAATATAGTAAAACCGAAGCGAAAAAAATGACGAAAACAAACCTCTGTCCCAACTTTGAAAAGAAAGGAAGGATCAGCCAGCATCCGATTACGTAGCATTGAGCAGTACTTCATCAAAAAACCCAGTGGCCAAACTGACCCCTGAATTTCAATCAAAAACCCAATAAGAATCGTACAAAAACCATAATTTGAAGATTTTTCATCAGAAATGATGATAAGATTAAGAAAAAATTCAAACCTGCAAATCCAAGTAGCGGAGAAGGAACACTTCCCGAAGCCCAGTAGTCTTAGCAGCCTCAACCATGTCCAAAGGAAGCTTCACTCCCCGCGCTTCGCTCTCCTTCATCACCTCATCAAACTTCAGCAATGGCCCAAACTCCTCTCCCTCTCCGCCCTCCTCTTTACCCCCGCCGTCTCCTTCTCCTCTTCCTCCGCCACCAAATGAATCCCCGCCATCACCACCGTCATTTCCTCCGCCGAAGCCGTCGATTTTCGGCTCAGAAACCATCGCTTTCGCCTCCGTGAAATCACCATTTTTTTCCGCGACAGAAATGGTCTCTGATCCCGCGCAATTGAGATGGAAACGGTGGTTGCGAGACGGCGAATGGTGTAAAGCCACCAGCTTTAAGGAGTTTGCGAGTTTGGAATGGGGTTTAGGGTTTTGGAGACATTGCAGAGGAGCTCTGGCCTCGGAGGCGGAGCTGGAAACGACGGCGTTTGGTAGGTGCGCATGCGATGGTGGCGGCGAACAAACTGACATTTTGTGTAGACTGGCACGAACGGAAGTCACAGACTCAAACAGTTCCTAAACAATTGACTGAGGGGATCGTAATCACCTGCGGTCCAGTCCGTGGAAAACTTCCAGATGGCAATAGGTGATTGGCTGTAGTACACTTTCGATGACTGACTGAGGGACTTGAACTCTCGCGGGGATTTATCGCCTGAGGTTTAGTCCGTAGGAAAAGGAGCACGTGGCAGAAGGTGAATGGCTGTAAAATATTAAAAAGTAAAAAAGTTTATCGACGCCTGAGAGATTCGAACTCTCGCGGGGAAACCCCATGTACTTAGCAGGCACACGCCTTAACCACTCGGCCAAAGCGTCGATTGATGGCTTCCTTGCTTCGTTTACTACTTAAACTATGAAAAAACACATTCGTTTCAAACCAAAACGTACCTAAGTTTAGCCAAGTTGACTAGACAAGTATGATCCACCCTCTGCACTCAATTCAAATTTCTTTTTTTTTTTATTTTAGATGAATTTAGTGTAATTATCGTATCATTTGTTAATTTTCCCATTTTTCCTCCCTATCTTATAAGGAAGGTCGGCAAGATATAGAAATAAATTATAAGGGCCTATTTGGCATCCTTCTTGGATCTTATTTTTTTGTTTATTAAACTAATGAGAACTAAGTAACTTATTTACATTCACATGTGCTCGAATCACACTTTCAAACTCAAAAGTTTAGAAAAACGAACACAACTGTCATGATAATGAAAAAAATAAAAAATGTGAAATTACTTCCCTATTACTTATACCATACTATTTCATACTTACAGTTATGACTTGATTCTTAAAGTACAGGTTTTACTCCCCTAGACCATATTTAGCAAGGATTTATGAATGTGTGGTGTACTTTTTAAACACGTGACAAATATTTATTGAACAAGTGAAGCGACTATGCATTTGATACTAGAAAGTTTCTCTCCATCACATAGGAGAGATGTGAATAAGCTCATGAGCTTAGTCCCACCTAGCCGTCAACAAACGAATAAATACTTCTATCTCCAAAGTTAACTCATACACTTAACTTTACAAACTCAAAATAAACGAAATAAAATGTAAATTATAAATTATGGTTTTTCTCTACACTCATAAGATGTTTGAATTGAGTTCACGTCTTGGATGGGGGGCACTTTAATTTAAACAGGTAAGCATGTCTTCTAAATTCAAATAATTGCAATGTTTCGTACTTATTAAAATCTTATCACCTAACTTTTATATATTAAAATCTGTCACACATAAATTTTCTTTTCTTTTGGTGCCATCATTAGCAGTTAGCACTCTAAGCAAAAAAGAAACATTGACAAATGCTGCCAGTTTAAAATTTGTTGTCCATACAGAACAATGAAAACTTTGGCCGTCTCTGCTTAGAATTTGAACAATTAAACGGAAAAACCGGGGATGTAACCGGTTATTTATCCCTCTCTCTGTCTCTCACATCACGTAACACAATAATTTAAACAGACTCGTACCTTGCCTTGCTTTCAGCAACTGCAATCCCTCATTTACAGAAAATTTACACTGTTTAATGAACAGCAATTCCAAATCAAACCACCTCAAAGGAAGGCAAACAAATTCAGATATATGATTGCTGATTTTTCCAATATTTCACAGACCTATAAGTTACAGTTTGGTTCATAAAGATGTACATGTATAAACCCAGAAACAAGCTAACTGGAAGAAAAAAACACTGAAAGAACGAAAATTTCTTCTCTCTCTGTGAAACAAGGTCTATTTACTTGTCACAAAGCTCCTCAAGAAGAGGAGCGCGGACCTATGAGTTCAAATCTTGGATGTGACTAGCATTCCGTTACAGGTAAGGTATCCGTAACTTCTTGAAATATAATGCTTCATCCTATGATGACTGCGAAGTTCCAACCACTGTCGTTAAATAGGTGAAAAGAATTTCTCTCTGTACTCAAAATCCAACTTTATAACGACAATATTTCTATTAGTATGGATAGGTTGCGTACCATCCTCCGTTCAGAGACTCCTGGAACTATTCTGGTTGGTTAACAGAAACATGAAGGAAATGAAACTATCTCAAAACATGGAAATCATTTTGAGAATGTTGATTATGAATTTTTCCATTCCTTTCTCACATATTTTCTGGGAACCAACCAGAGCCTCTACTAACCGAGGCAAGCTTTATTTGCTTTATAAGGAAATTTTCTTGTGTCTATAATGCAAGGTCGAAGGACGTGCCTGCTCAACTGATGATCTTGGGGATGGCCGAGTACTCTCAACAGTATCTGGTTTAGCATCAGAGGGTCTCGAGAGAAGACTGCACCCAATCCTCCTGCCAACCACACGAGGAGAACTGAGGGAGCTATGTGATTTGCTCACCTTTTTCATCTCTTGCTTTATTTTACTGAACTCTTCTTCGAGTTCACCAACTCTAGATCTCATCTTTTCCATATCCACCTTTAAAACGCGATTCTCACGCACCATAGTCACCCACCCATCCCTCTGTATAATCTGGCCAGCCATGTCACCCGGGACAGTCGCAGGACCTGTGGGGCCACTTTGAGTTTCCAAGCCATGAAGACAACCAGCTAGAGCGGTTCTCAAATGCATCTGCTCAAAGAACAGGACTTGAAGAACAACTCTAAGTGGCAACCTCTCATTTTGAGATGCATGGGAACACGCATCAATAGATAGCTTCTGGAAGTCAATGATGCTGCAGAGATCTTCCTTCTCTTTATTGGAGAGCCAAGGGTGTGCCTTGAAGTATATATCCAGTGACCTATACAACCCATCATATAAAGTTCTTGAAGATTCTGGGAGGGCCTCCGCAAGAGAGCGTATCTTTCCTGGTTTTAAAGTCACATCCGAAGCAACCTCCGCAATATAGCTATCTACCAACTTTGCAACTTTCTGTAAAGGTCTTGATGATGGCGATGTTTCCATGTCAAATGATGACGGAGAAAATGGTGTAGCCTTTGATTCTGACGACATAAAATGATGGATTATTCGTTCAACACAGTCAGCATCATACAATGCATCAGTATCTGAATAAGTAGGAATCAGAAGACCATCTAGGGTTGCCAATTCCAGCTGCATCCCTATTCTCCTCTCCAAAGCATCCTTGCAGGTTTGACTGACACCCAATATTAATGCAACACGAAGAAGACCAAGTAGAAAACGGCAAAATGATTTCCCCTTCTTGAGGGGAAGAAGTTTTTCAATGCTTTCTAAAACTACCCTTTGATCAAGGGCAATGGGCGTCAAACTAAAACTTGTAACTGTTCTGGGTATACCGTGTTGTCCACCCTGCCATCGTCCTAGGCCAGGCAGGTACTTTCTGGTATAATGCATTATAGCACCTACTAGGTTTTCGGGTCTTATACCCCTTGTTTCCATTGTCTTGATAAGCCTCTCAAACAAACTCACACTAAGGTATGAGATGTCTTCAAACCACCAGTTAGACTCAGAGCTTCGAATTCTCGCTCCAGTGTTAATTCCGTTCCATAGGATGCTTCCACCAGGACTCTGTAAGCTACCATACATCATCATGGGCCATCCAAACAAACTAGGATCTGTACAAACCATCACCGATATAGCATTTACACACTTGTTTACTATGTGAAGCTTTTCTGCCCTTTCAATTACAGTCTCACAACTTTGAAGAGCCAAGATAGAGTCTTTCCAGTTGTGAAGTACATTCTTATGGAAGCAACTCTCTGACTTTGAGAGCAAGTTTCCTTCCCCATACTCATCTGTCATTTCAAGGTAGTCCGCTGCGCAGTACACGATTACTACATTTCTTGGAGTCAATTCCACTCGCATACCATAGCAGAATTTAGCTGCAATCAGAAACATGTCAGGGCCACCAGGGAGTTCCTCCAGAATTGCGGTGAAAATGCTCTTGCGTGTGCTTTTGGACTCTTCGTACATATGTGATATCTTCCCACATTTTGATATGAGAGGAAACTGGAGATTATAAAATATTATAAGTGACATGTCCTACTTAAAATTCACAATTAACAACTATGATTTTATTTTCCATTATAAAAACATCCTTAGGGGGAAAGACAACAAGAACAACAACAGACCGCAATATAACAAAAGCCACACCAACTGCAGAAATAAACCTAACATAACATAAAAGCTAACCACTAATAGTGAAACGAAGCCATCAGTGACATGAATATAATATTAGGGGATAGCGGCGGGGGGCAACCACTCAACCCCTATTTTTGGACCGGACACATATATTGGAAGCTTAGAGTGCACCGCCAATTTACAAGAGAGAAGTGAAAAGCTCATGGCTTATGGCTAAATCTAGCATAACTTACCAAACTACTTATTTCTGATGTTTGAGAACAACCCAAGCCCTTCTATTTTATATCCATTCTCAATCCCCCTAAATTGCAGAACCACCGCATCAAATGATAGGTGCACACATACCTTATGAAGATGGAAGCTCACGCCGTCCACAACCACAGTAATATCACTTGGCAATCCCGCTTTGCAAAACCTTACAGAGAAAGAACCAAAAAAAAAAAAAAAAACAAAAAAACAAACATCAATTCCATAGTCTCTCCAGCTTCCTTCATTATTCAATGAAATAATGAATTTCCATTTGAACAGAAAAAGGTTTATTTAGATTGAATTATAGACTTGTATCTGAATTGAATTATAAAATTAAAAGCTGTAATTCAAATGGAATTAAACTCTATCTGTCCTACAGGCCATAAATTCAACAACCAATTAATTAAACTCGAATTAAGTCCCAAAAAAGAAGAATAATTGTGAAGATAAAAGCCTTGAAGAAAACTTGGTAAGGGACTGATATTACTGTTCGTGAAAGTGTATAATGAATGAATTAAACAATTTGCAATTTACCAAAAAGGGGTTTATTTGTTATTGAATGATAGAATTCTATCTGAATTAAAGTAGAATTGAAGGCTGCAATTGAAATATAGTCAGATTCTGGCCTTAAAAGAACATTAATTTTGAGAATTGAACCTGGAAGAAAAGGGTCATATTTCTGTCCATGAAAGTGGTGTACAAGGGGAGGGAGGGAGGGAGGGAGGGGGAGAGAGATTACCAGTCATTGCCTTGTCTGCAAAACTCAGAAACCTTGCCAGCTGGAGCCATGGCTGAGGTGGGAAGAGAGAACCTTTACTCTCTCTCTCTAGGAAAACAAGAGCTTCATGAAATTGGGTGGAGAGGAGGAACAGAGACCCAGAAACCAGTTGTTTAATCAAACTTCAAAAGTGAAAAGGAGGGGTTAAAGACGGGCAGCAAGCAACGTAAGTAGGAATCCAAGTCCAACTTAGTCAAACAAATGCCGAGTGCCCCTTTACAGCTCGCTCGCCCTCTCTTTCTCTCTCATCAAATGAGAAAACCCCACACCCACCACGACCACCAAACACCATAAGATGGGATGGGACCATAAATAAACAAAAAAAAACCCAACACAAATTCAAATTTAATCAAAAGACAAAAACCCAGAAAAGGGTGCACAGATCACGACGCCCCCAATGCGTGAGCAAAGCAAAGTTCATAAAAAAAGCTACGAAAATTACGACACCCAGAAGAGGCCGGCATGTGCGGGAACAAAGTCATGGGGTCGACGCAAGCAAAAGCATCAATCAGTGGTCGAGAGGGAAGGGGGGCCTTTTTGCTCCTTAGCCGGAAAATAATGGGGTTTTACTTGTTGGAGACAAAGGGTAATTAATCATTTATGTCTGAGGCTTTTTGGCAAGCACCTTCTCTGCAATCATTTTCCGAGCCGCGTGGTGTCGGATCGTCGCGGTAGTTTTCGGTTGCGATCGATTTTTATTACAAGTAAACATGGGTTTTTCAGGGAGATTGATTGTGAGCGTGGGGTGTGGTGCCCACCAAGAACACTCCCTTCTTTTTTATTTTCTTGAGGTTGAAGAACACTCCATCTCAATTTCTTATAGTTGGTTGAAGATTCTTCCAGGAGTTGTAACTACTTTTATGGGGTCTACATGTGACGTTTTGTATAAGTTATTTTATGTTCTTTAAGGTGGGTGCGGACATCAATGCTGCTTCATTCAATACTGTGAGAATTTTAGTAGTTAAAATTTGATTTTTACAACTATTTTGAATTTAGTTTATTAATTTAAATGTCTCGTGAAACTGTCATTTAATCTTGTTTGTACCATATTTCATCATCTCGAAATTACCTTTAGGAACCTACTAAAGGGTTCATGCTAAAACATCCTTGTTGAAGCACATGCGTTCTTTTCCAGTTAAGAGACCAAACACAACACAACATGCGTTAACGTTAGAATAAAAGCTCCTCGAGTCCACATCGATCGCTAACGGATATCGAAGACTCTACTGAACTATAAAGGAGACCATTATTTTATAATTAATTCCTAAGGCCATTATTGTGCTCAAACTCATCATTAGGACCCCCTAGTGATGATTATGCTTGAACTTATGTATTGTGTAAACTTTTTTTTATTAATGGGAACTCCTTTACCCTTGTGGACATAGTCCAACTTATAGTGAACCGTGTATATCTTGTACTTACTTCTCTATATGTGTTTCTCTACCTATTCACCTACATTTGGTGACCTGAGCAATCTTGCATTGGTCACAAACTTAACACTTTAAGTTGTTCCAAAGTCTATCCGATTTTGTGCATCAACATTTGTGGTTGTTTGTCGGAATCAACACTAATTCCTACTCTCACCAGTTTCGTCAAGCTGGTTTCCATCATTCGTACGCTCTCCTTAGATTAGGCAACCCTCATCAACATGGGGAGTGGAAGAGGCCACAACACGCAGAACGACACCCCCTCATGTCTAGTGCGAGGCAACGAATGAGGGAAGGGAAGAAGGTTGAGAGCGGGAGTTAATCTATTATATTTAACTTGTGAGTACTTGTGGGTAGGGCTGGACACGGTACGATACGGTTTGGCGTGTGAATTGATACCGGAACCAAAACCAAAAGTACCTCTCAATTTGGTCCGATATGGTTTTGTTAATCTCAAGTTTTGCTACAGAACCAATCTCATTCTGATCGGCTTCGGTAGCAGAGAGCAATTGTAGAAGTTTACTGCAATGATGAAGGGGTTTCCGGCGAAGAGGATGATGATGATGCAAACGGCGATTGTCGAAGAAGATGGCAGATCGCTGCTGCTGATATTGCGAATCGAAGACAACGGGAGTTAGTTGAAAATATACAAGATTTAGTTGTCAAGTTTGTTGAGAATATACAAGTTTTAGCACTCTCCCATGAATCAATAGGACACAAATGAGTCCCGGACCACAAACAATTCTTTCTCCGACCATATATTTTCTATTCGATCCATTTGCAATTTGCAAATCCAAAAATGCACTCATGTACGCACATTCCACCATATTAATATTTTTTCTTACTTTTTTTTTTTTTTTTTTTTCCTACAATAAAAAAGGATCAGCTGATGGTTTTTCTAAAAATGCACTCACAGAGGTATTTTAGTCTCCCCGATCACAATCGTGTGATTCATTAGTATCAGAAATTGAATACAAACGTGTAAAATACAGGTCTGAAAATTTATCCTCAAGTCATTTATCTATATATATAAATATGAGCATTGTAGCTACATAGTACTTACGGTTTAGTGATATTCTTCTTTACTTGTCAGTGAGAGGTCTTAAATTCGATTTTCGACAAAGATGAAGTTGAACCACATTATGTGGCAAACACATTGTAAGGCCTAACCACTCTCCCATCCTCTTAGTGTAAATGTCATCGTTTATTAAAAAAAGAAACACTATATATGCATCATAATGTTGGATACAGCGTGCGTTTTGGTAGGCAATAAGTATGAGAAAGTAGAAAACATAGATGATGAGTAATTACGTATAAATTAAGTAAAGATGAGAAGTAGATGATGCAAGTATGTTTTTATCCGAACTAATAATTGTATGTGCTGGATAATATTGAATTGTCATTAAGCATGAAACTCATACAATCACAACAACAACCACATAACAAAGGCACTACCTAATTATATAACACTACACTCTTGGCACGACTGGGACTTATTATTCTTTACCATTTTATTAAACCTCAAATAAATAGATTATAAATGTATATTAGAGGTTGTATGATTAATGCAAAAATAAGTGTTGTTGACCGTGAGAGGCAGGCCAGATCATGTATTCTCTGTCAATCGGCCTATCAAAGGAGAAATTCAAAGTTTGGAGTCCAGACCACTAATTTCCAATGGGGATAATAGTAAGTAGACTAATTTTTCATATTACATACGCAAATCATTAGATAAATTGTTTTCTTAGCATTGCTCTTCCGACGCCTAGACTCAAAATAACTCTCATGGCCCACCCCCTGATTTGAGGCCCACCTCTATCCCATTTTTGACGAATAAGGATACTTTTTGTGAGGATTCCGGGGATTTGCGTATTTTGTCCGTTTATCATGTATCGTGTGGTCAGAAATTATTTTAAATTTTATTATTTAAAATTGAATACAACCAGTATCTAAGAAAAACTGACTGCATGATATATGATGAATGGACATGATTCATGGATTCCCGAAATCCTCAAGGATCCGGAATTGTAGATTCATTTTTGACCTCATCCTCTATTTTTTGGTCTTGTCTGGTGTCCCCGTATAAGACCTTCTCTTAAAAGTATGAATAATGAGTCCACATATGAAACGAAATGAGTAAGTTTTTTATTTTGGAGTTGGGAAGAAGAGAATCGGTAGAGATCAAACCCATATCACTATGCATAAACACAATTTTTTTTTTTTTACCACTTCTGTAGAACACCATATACCGATACGAGCAAGTTTTTAGCAAAAAATATTGATAACGTTATTGGCACTCTCTAAGAAGTATCAAGCATTCCAAATAAATAAAATATAAAAATGAAAAGATACTTGACAGAAGTGCAAATCATTAACAACTCCCAAAATATAATGCCATAAATTTTTATTTTTATTTTTTTGAAGCGAATAATACTATAAGAAATTCTACTTTTAGGAGATCAGAGTTCTTTCAGTTCTAGCCATTTGCCTTTAGTTTTGGGTGACAAATATTTTATAAGACAAATGTTGGAGTTGGGATTGACCAAAAAAAAAATGTTGGAGGTGAAGTGCCATATAGACCATTAAAGAATACAGTTATCTCGAACATTTGCTTCTTTAGATGATTCACTTCTAATCAAGGAGTTGTGGGTTCAAGAACTTCAAATCCCACCAGGTGTGACTATTTTTTATCTTTCTTTTTTTACTGCCCGTCATTTCTTTACAAAATTCACAAGCCCATTCACTTTTATAACCATCTCGTGCCCATGTGTTTTGAACCATGAAAACGAGAGGTATATGTGCTGAAAAGAAGCCAATTTTCTAGCTGCAAACTCTGTACAAATGCCTCGGAAGATGCTAGTTGAAGGAATACGTCTGTTGGTCAAAATACGTGACTCTAAAGTAAATACATTGCTCTACTAAGTGACGAGTATATAATGAATGCATAAGGCTTGCAACCATCCAACAAGGGTCATACACATGTTGAATGGTAACCTTAATTTGGTTGTTTACAAATAGGTTGGCATTCAAACCTATTTCATTCATCCAATTCATTTATTCGAGAGAGTAAATCTTCATATGTGATCTCCAGTCTAACAACATCCATCACCGAGATCTTATTACCAAATTTTTTGTTGCACGGAATGATCAAATACTTATTTAGAATCGTGTTATCTTGTCGGCTTTGTGTTACATCCAAAGTCTAGCAAATTTTGAGTTGGAAACAACACACCAGAAATTAAAATAGAAAGCAAAAACCCTAATCATCTCTACAAGATAAGAAGCTGGCTCTGAATTTCCATTAGATAATTTAACATAGATAGAGAAAATGCACATAAAGATAGATTAACAAAAGCAAAGACATAATAATCTCATACGTTCAAGAGAACATCCTAATTCTTGCGCAACTCTCTGAAATAGCCTTTAGGATCACGTTCAAACTCTTCCCTATCTATGATATCATCTTTTCCTGGAGCTTTCATTGTTTTCTTCTTTCTCTCTGACTCCGAACCAGCTGATGAAACAAGTGCAGATAAACCCCATGCCAGTAGACCAATCCCAGCAGCAGCACCAGCAGCAATTGCACCTACGCTGTACGACGACTCGTTCTCACTTCCCTCCTTTTTCTTCGAGCTCTCCGAACTTTGTTTCGATTCCATATTGCAATCCTGTGAGCATGTACAGTTCGTAAGAGCTATTTAATTTCTGGAGGCATCTTGAAATATTATTTGTTAGATGATAGCATAACAGTTATATTAAAACAAAAATACTAATACAATTCTTCGGCAAAACCCTACAGAAAATTGAACACCCAAGAACAACTCAAAAAAGTGAAAAGGTAACAAGAAACTAAATGGAAAGAGAAATAGAGAGGGGAGAGAGAGAGAGAGAGAGAGAAGAACGTAAATTAATCGCAATGGAAAGAAGATAAGTAAATTAAAGCCATACCATACCAGGACCCAGGGGGGTTCTTCTTCAAGGTTGGCTCGTCGTGTATAGTAAGTATCAAGGGTTCCTGTGAGCAAAACTCATGGTTCGTGATCAATATATAGATAAGTCACGCGCATGCTTGCAAGTCACGTGCTTCCTCTACTTCTGCAAGACAATCGAACCTTGTCAACTGAATCCAGTCAAAAGTCTCTTTCCAATGCATTTGGTTGTTAATGCACGCATGCGTCATTCGAAACTTGTAGAACTGAATCCAGTCAAAGCCTGTTTCCAATGAATTTGGTTGTTAATGCGCGCATGCATAATTGAATGCATGGTTGGTTTCCTCAAGGAAATAATGGCGGGTTGAATTATGGAGTAAAATTTCATGCATGATGCTTGGTAAAATGAGTTTGAAGTTATGATAGTTATCTAGCAATATTCCAACTTGATTTTGGTCTCGTAGCTGCCGTGACTTCGCTGCAACTTGGACTAAGATTGATTGATCATTCAACACAGATTCAAACCCGTGATCATTAGCACGGTACACCGTCATCGAGACGTTACGTGTCAATAATACAATAACGTGTAAGTTTTTTTCTAAGTGACCTTGTGTCATTGGTAAGGATATTATCATAACGTATACTCATGTCATGTAAGTGCTCTCTTTCAGTAAGTATTTTTTAAGTTACAATTTTATGTAACATGTGGTATTAGAGCTTAAGTAATACGATTAAAATCCGTAAGATATGAACATGAAATCTGCATATGCTTGTCAAAATAAAATTTGCATGCTAATGGTGGCATAGTATGATGAGGAGCCGTTCGATTGATTGGACTATTCCGATCTTCTTTGAACCTTTTCCCTTCTCTTCATGTCATACCATGTGTATGGTTGCGGGTGACATAGGTTGTAGTCATGGGGGACATGCTTACTTCAGCCATGCTGTGGAGGACATGCTTATCTTAGGCCATGAAGGTTTTTGTACACCCCATCCCATAAAATGTTATATAACATTGTCTTATTCATAAAGTTGTATCATATGTACTCACGAGCGAAAAACAAACCCCTTAAATATGACTTCGACGACGACACAGGTACACTGCCATAATGGTGCTCATACCAATAATTCAACGTCATATGGAGGAAAACTTTTACAAGTTTCATTGACATGAAAGACCACAGTAACAACGTACATGTGTTACTAAGTCAGCCAAATTTAGGGACTACTATTTCATTACATATAATTTTTTTAGATATTCTACACACCACTAACACTTCATAAAAAAATATTAAAAAATTAAAAAGATGTTAGAGAAGTAATTTGAAATATATGAATATATCTCCCTAAATCTTTATCACTGATATAAGTGAAATTCAACAACACAATTATAATCTTTTTAGCTGTAAAAACAGATTGATGAACAAAAGCAGCAGAATGCTTGAAATAAATAAATAAAATAACTCGACTTGTATAATTGACCCCCCTATAAGCACCCCCGCCAGCATGTCGCAGCAAAAGCTCTGGTGACAAATTACAGTAATCTAGATTATATTCTGAAGACATAATCCCAAGCACGTATTGTTGAACCTCTACCACGAACTATTTGACAGACATTAAGGTACATCTGAAGATCTCTTCCGAAAGAATTTCGACACAGCACACCTCAGCAAGGATCCTTGATTCGTCGCACCAAACAACAGCACCCTTATTTAGTTTGCAGATGATTGGGAAATGGCCTTCTTGACAGCCTCGGCATATGTCCTATGCTGATACGTGAGGGTTGATTCAAGCAAGTCCCAGAGAGAGGTCTTTGGATTCCAACCTGTCATAGATAGCCCCATTACGTTGTTAGAATGCCGTTAAGTCACATGGGTCAATCAGATTAAAGACGAGTCAAATGAAAGATACATACCAAGCTGCTTGTTGATAATAGTCATGTCAGGAATTCTCTTGTCGCTATCATCATATCCCACTCCATAGAATTCTTGAGAGCTAACATCAATGGTGGGTGTCTCCAGTTTTGGTTCGCCACTTACTTTCACATAAACCTGTAATGTATACGAACATCAATCCTTGTATCCATATGAATTTAATCAAAATACCGCTAATGCAACTGAATTAACTAAAAAGAAGATGGTATCAAAGACAATTATTCACCTCAGTCATCATTTCACCAAGCTGCCTAACAGTAACTTCATTGTTAGGGTTGCCAACATTGAAGATGTGACCATTGGCCCTAGCAGGATTTTCCTGAGAAAACAGATCACATTACTGAGCAACAACTTTTGCATGCTTAGTATTAATTTGAGCAAAATATATTGTTTTTTTTAACTTACGATCATCAACATAACAGCTTCAATAGCATCCTTTATGTAGACAAAAGTTCTCTGAGATTGGCCACCATCTACAAGCTTGAGAGGCTCATGGCGAAGAAGATTCTGCAACCAATGAAAGCAAAGCATGATCACAACACAAATATCGAAATACCAAATAAATAGGGAATTCTACAACAATTCATCTGACATACATTACTGAAGCATGCAAGAACTCTTGGAACACCCTCACTTGGGCCGTCAATGCCAGGAATGAAATCCATCCTAGGTCCAATCCAGTTAAAGGGTCTCACAATGGTAAACTCAAGACCATTTTCCGCACCCTCAGCTGTAAATGAGAAGAAATCAAGTCAGAATCAGAAACGTATGTTACAATTACCAATTCATGATTGACCACATAAAAGTAGAACAAAGAGATGACTAACCATAAATCAGCCTCTCGATCAATTGCTTTGCGCATGCATAGGACCATCTCTGCTTCTCAATAGATCCAAAAATGCAAGGGGATTCATCTTCTTTAAGCACATAATAAGCAGGATCCTATGAAAACATAGAACACGATAAGTAAGTTTTCCGATAACAAAGTGCAAATTATACAGCATCAACAAACTTCAAAGCCACTTATTGCATTGATCAGTGACTCCATCTGAAAAAATTACATTACCTTGAAGAGTGGGACATAATATCCCAAAAACGTACAAACCTTGAAGACTTTACATTCTATCACAACGACCCACCAAACAAAATGAAGCACAACACTAACACTTCAAAGACATTCGCTGAAACAAAATACTAACCATGCACTTGGATCGTGGGGTAGCCGGGCAAAGCCAGGCTTTTGATGCCATGATTGAATATCTATAAAAGGCTTGGCCCCTGCTCCGCCCAGCCTTTGAACTTTCTTAGAAACACATAATCTATTGACATCAAAACAGAAAAAAATCTGTTTCTTCACTATCAAGTCCATACCCGGCATACCCATCAAACCAGATTCTAAATTATTGTTATACATGCAACAAAATGTCAAGGTTTACTATTGAAAATGCTCTAGATCTAATTAGCATCAGATCCCATAGTAAAACACATGTTTAAGCATTATTAGGGGATAATGCCATACCACCGAAACGTAATTGCAGATCCCAAAATCAGAATAATGGAATCAAACCATTTAAATTATGCAAATGAACAACTTTACGATAAAACAAACACCAAGAAAGGCATAGATCCGAAACATGCCGAAGAAAACTAGTAAAGCAAATACATAAAAGAAAATTGAAAAGAAAGGGTACGATAAAACAAACACCAAGAAAGGCATAGATCCGAAACATGCCGAAGAAAACTAGTAAAGCAAATACATAAAAGAAAATTGAAAAGAAAGGGACAAAGGGGGTACCTGACGAAGAGGGCTATCTTTAGGAAGATAGCTTCCAATGGTTTTCCCATACACTTCACACGTAGAAAAGTGAATCAAACGCTTGTTGTTTTCGGAGCAGTACTTCACCTAACAATAATTAATCACAAAATATACCAAAATGTAAGGAAAACCCACATCAACTCAATCAATCCCCACCCCCACCAACCCAAAATCCCAAATTTCGCAATCAAATTTCACTATCCCAAAAATCAAGAAAACAAGAACCGAAAACCCACCACCGGCAGCGCATCGATGAAGTTGCTGTAGATGGTGTCGAGCGGGCGGGTGTTGTAGTCTGCCGGAGTACAGATGGCCGCCAGATTAATCGTCTGCGAAAAACCCACAAATCCAAACCATTCAAAAAGCAAGAAAATTATGCAAAATCAAGAAAAATACCACAAAATCAAGCAAAAAATCGCCACGAAGAACAAAATCGAAGAAATGGATTGTACCAGATCTGCCATTTTGATGAGGCCTTCGAGGCGCGAGTCCTGCTTGATGTTGAGTCGGTGGAACTGGATACGATCGGACCAGGGGTGCGCGTTCTCGGGCTCGAGCAGGTGCTTGATCTTGTCATTGTAGACGTCCAGAGCCAGGACCTTGTGCGGCGTCTCCGACATCAGCTTCTCGCAGAGGTGGGACCCAATGAACCCTCCGGCTCCGATCATACATATCGTAATGGGCTTTATCGGGTTGCCGTCTAGATCTACCCTCGCCGACGACGCCATTCTCAACGACGACGTTTTGGTTCTGTGGGTGCGGTGAGAAAATTGCGTGGTGCGAGGATGAGAGAGTTTCTCGGGAAGAAGGGAAGGAAAATATGGAAGAACAAAATGAGAGGGCAGAACGTACATAAAGGGAGTGGGAAATGTGATTGGGAGGGACGGAATAAGACAGTGAGCTACTCTCCTCTTTACACTCTCAGAGGCTTACTCGCTCTGTGATTGGGCCACGTGTGCGGGTGCTGGGATGAGGATCTGGGGTGGTAGCAGGGGATTGGTGATTTTATTTATTGTACTGTATCTCATGATCTCATGTATGCTTAATGGGTGATGGCTTTTTGACAAGTTATGAAATTGCCAGAGGAATTAGAGCTGGATTTTGGTTATGCCTCATGGCGATCATGCAGGTTTTGGGTTATTTAATGCTATTTAATAAACTAATAATTAAAAAAAATTAGTTAATTAAATAATGATTGTGGTATACGAGGAGTCTTTCTTCTTCATTTTCTTGGGTTTTGCAAATTTTTCAAAGGATGTGGCTGTCCACATCAGATGCTACCTAAGGTGGTATAAAAATGTAGTATAAAAAATGGTATGAATAACATTACTCTTATTTAATTGCAATTAATAATGTTAATACAAGTAGATCATCCAATTTTCATTCATTTTTTTTCTTATAATAGTGAGGATAAATGATTTTTTTTAATTCTATAATTTTTATTTTTTTTAACAAACGAGAGTATTTACACTAAGGCTGGGGAATGGATAAGCCTCACAATGGACTTGCCATAATAATGTGGTTATAATAATGTGGTTCAACTTCACTTTTTAACGATAATTGAACCTAAAAAATCTTACTTACAAATGAAGATGAATACGTAAGTGGCATAATATTTATTTTAAAGAAATAATAACATTCATAATACTAATGGGAGTGTCTCCATAGTATAATCCTTAAACTTAAAGACTAAAAAATGAAAGAAAATCTTTGTTAATTTTACAGTCGTTGATCTGAGCGGTAAAAAACAAAAACTAAGACACAAGAATTATCATAATCGTTGATCTAAGCAGTAAAAATACAAAAACAAAACTAAAAAAATTATCATAATTGTTGATCTTCCATCAATAAACAAAAGAAAAAAAAAAAGGGGACCCACCGCATTGAAAGTTGCAGAACATTCTAACAGTCTGATTCACGTGCTTGAGATTTCACCCCACTCAAAATGGACCTGGGCCCACCCCAATCCCTCTACTATAGGGACTGTAGTTGTAGCATATTGAAAGCTACAAAGTCCTTAAATATAAGGACATGCGGTGGTGAGGACATGTATAGGAACAAGCATTGGATATGCTTTAAAGATTATAGGGACTGTAATGTGTACATAAAAGAAGAGCGTATTTTTGTTCATTATCATTTATTGTAGTGTATATTTATCATCGTTAGATGAATTTGAATTTTTAGATTTGTTTTTATCCACTACACGAATTTCGAAATTCAAACTCATATAACTGTTATAAATAGAATGATGAGCATACATCACACTAAATGGTGATGAACAAAAATACTCCCATAAAAGAAAGAATCAAAATAGTTGACCGAAATGTTGTATATAAATAAGTGTTTTGGTTAATTACCAGTATAATATGTAATTAAATTTTGAGAGTTTACCATTTAATTTGGCATTAGTTCACTAAACCTTGAACATTGGAATATATTCGAAGACCCCAGCGAGAAAATGAGACGGAGAGCAAGGTTGTGAACAAAATTACTTAAACACCCTCACTCACATCGTCCACCAGTGAGTTATGAGCTGTCGCCCGTCCAACGTTCACGTGGGTTTGAAATTATACGAAACCACTTCTTCACGCTATTAATTCCCACGCGCTTTACCACCTTTCTTTTTGGCTATCTCCGTGTTCCTTTCACGCGACCAGAAAATTTGTTCAAGATTGTAGCAATCTAGTCACTTAATATCGGTGTCTTTTTTTGCCACTTAGTACTAAGGATTTGTGATTTTTTATCATTTGTAAATGAAAGGTGTTAAGTTCGATTCTTGTTAAAGATTAATTTAAATCACATTATTACTAGTAAATTGTGAGGCTAAGCTTACACCTTTTTCCTTAATGTAGATTATTTAGACTCATTTATCCTCTTTTTACACTAAACTTATTATTTTTTATTTTGAAATTCCAAATATGCTCAATAATTCTGTTTCTACACCCAACAAGAACAAAAAGAAAATAATAATAATAATAATAATAATTTAGTAATAGGCAACTCCAGCCACCCTATCTCTTCAAACCTCAACCACCCAATTTCTAACCTCCCCAACTCCCCACCGCCACCTCCCTTACCACCCACAACAATTTGGAAATTAGAACATTATTCTCAACAACCCCCGATTAAAAAACCCAAAGGAAACATGTCAATATTTTGTTTTTCTTTTTTTGGAAAAATTAATGGTATTATTAACATATGACCCAACACAATTATTACTTTTTATTTTGAAATTCCAAATGTGCTCAATAATTCTCTTTCTACACCCAACAAGAACAAAAAGAAAATAATAATAATAATAATTTAGCAATAGGCAACTCCAGCCACCCTATATCTTCAAACCTCAACCACCCAGTTTCTAACCTCCCCAACTCCTCACCGCCACCTCCCTTACCACCCACAACAATTTGAAAATTAGAACATTATTCCCAACAACCCCCGATTAAAAAACCCAAAAGAAACATGTCAATATTTTTTTTTTTTGTTTTTGGAAAAATTAATGGTATTATTAACATATGGTCCAACACAATTAGATTCGACACGTTGACAATTTAGGCATAATTCGAACATGTTAGAAGGACTGCATGGAAGAGAGAGCTATTGTGTGGCCGGTGAAAGGTGTGACATCCCACATCGTCCAGGGGAGTGATCCTTATATGTATATTCCCATCCTTACCTAGCACGAGGCCTTATGGGAGCTCACTGGCTTCGGGTTCTGTAGGAACTCTGAAGTTAAGCGAGAAGGGGGCTAGAACAATCCCAAGATGGGTGACCCATCGGGAAGTTCTCGTGTGAGTTCCCATAAACAAAACCGTGAGGGCGTGGTCAGGGCCCAAAGCGGACAATATCGTACTAAGTGGTGGAGTGGGCCCGGGAAGTGATCCGCCCCGGGCCGGGATGTGACAAAATGGACATTGATGGTTGAGATCTTTGGGAGTTTCATTGTGAGTGATAAGAAGATGGCGGTAGGGGGTTGGGGAGGGGTAGAAATTGGGGGTGGTTAGGGATTGGAGTGATGGCATGGCCCGGGATTTCTAGTGTTGGAATTTTATATTTTTGTTCTTTTTCATTATGGATGTAGAAAGAAAATTGTTGGGCAGATTCGGAATTTCAAGATTAAAAATTATAAGCTGGGTATAAAAAGAGAATAAATGAGTCTGAGAAAAATTTCCCTAGATAATATCATTTGCTAAACAATTTAAGAAAAATATTGGTGCTCTTTGATTATTTATCAATAATACATATTCCATGACTTTGAAGAGAAATCCAAGACAACTTTATTCCGAATGAATTTGTATTCGACATTGATTTCTCATCTTTGTTGTTCTTGGCCATATAGTTTTCGTTGTCATTTTGGGTCGGCTTGATTTGATTGCTATTCCAAAAAATACCAGTGCAATTTTAATGATCCCTGTTGAGATTGAAATATCTTGGTAAGATGTCATTGAAAAAATGGTCGTTGAATGAAATTTCAAATGTTCAGATCATTTAATTAAGTGATTTTGGTGGAAGAGATCCGGAGAGGATCTCTTCTCTTAAGGAGGAGATTTGTTTGTCCTTGCGAATCCGAAGGATCCTATAATCATGTCCGTTTATCGTACATCGTGTAGTCAGAAATTATTTGAATTTTAAATTTTAAAATATTTTTTTATAATTAAATATTTTTTATATGACACATCATCAAAATATGTGGGTTATGCATGTGTCACGTCATCGCTTAACGATCAAATTGACAGTTTGACTAACGGATGTATGAAATTGCAACCAAATATAAGTTTGTGTATGAAATTGAAATGTTTTAAATATGTTGTATGAGGTTGTAATTGCACATAAACCTGAGATGGTAAAATGTAATTTATCCTTGAAAAAGAAAAGACGAAAGGTCATGTGCATGGCTTTGGATTTTAACAAGCAATTTGGTGGCATTTCTCCTTCGAGAGCATTTGTTTATTCAGTGACTGCCTAGAGGCGGAAAGCTTAATTTTCTCAACCATTTGGCTACACAAGCCAAAGCTTAAGAAAACTGAGGGTAAATGATTGGATCCAACATTACACCAGTGGCATGCAATTGAGGCCGTTAAATAAAAGGAAAACTAATGAAAATGGCTTGAAAATTTTGAGTTTTAACGATAATGACAAAATAAAGGGTAAAGTGAATAGTACCGGAATTGACTTTTTAGTGTAAAAATATGGTTTTTCGTTAAAGTGAACAGTACCATGTACTTTTCATTAAAACTCACAATAATAAACAAAGTTTTTGGCGTCGATAGCTCTAAGAATGAAGTGATTTTAATAACTTATTCAAGATATTATCATTGGTTTTTATCACGATGATCATATTGGAGTTTTTCTTAAAATTATTTTGACAGAAACAAAAACAAAGCTGATAGAGTCCTTCTCCAACACAATTACAGTAGGGGAGGAATAAAGATCCCGCAGTTGATGGATTCTTTTGGGACATGTGCTTCATTTGAGGTTTGTGGGCTGCTGATTGTTTTGGTTAAAAATCTAGGAGTAATGGCATATGAGGAATTAAGGATAAGAAGATGGTGTCCAACTGGAGGAAATTAGCCACGTGTGTTGTCTTTCATTAATGTCATGCATGCATGGGATAAAGACGAGATGAGGATAGGATAATATTGCAACGGATAATGTTAGAGAGATCAAAGTTGCAAACAATAGAAAAAGCTCATTCAACTCAACAAACAACTCAACGGTCCACGTGAAGCCCTCGCTCTATGCGAAACCTTCTCACACCTGTGACAAAATACTAATTACCCCAACCTTTCCTCAACACACCTTTAGTTTACATTGACAACAATG